AAAAAAAAGTGAAGTCTTCTGTTTGGTTTTAATTTCGTCGCAAAATTTTTGCTCGACCCACTTCAAACTGACTTCGTTCCACTACGAAGCGAGCATCTCGTACTGCCTGTGATGACTTACCTAGTGCAGTGGAGAGGAAAAGAATGCCTACGCTGATCTGTAAATCCACGTCACAGTAGGCGCTGTTGCGTGGGCGAGGTGGAGCGACCGCTGGCTTGCGTGCCTCTTGCTCGATTTTCGCTTGCTTCTCCAGCAATTCGGCAATCAAGCTTTTCTGTGGCGGCATCTGAATCAGCAATCAGCAGTATGCTTTTTGCATTCCTCCAAGTTTTTAATCAAATTCTGAGCGCAGCTCAGCTTGCTAGCTGCAGCCGCGCGCATCTCATGGTTGTGCCTGATAGCTGAGTGCACCTTGATACCATGGATTCCCATGAGAACTGTCCCCGCATTTACTATTCTTTGCTTTAAGCAAAGACTGTGTTTTTGATGCGGCCAATACCCATCTCTTAATTCGCTTCCATCTTAGAAAAATTGTCCTTTTTAACAACAAAAAAAAAAAAAAGCGGCGAATTATAATTTTTTTCCAAAACGTCGGAGGACTAATTTTTCATTGTGTGTCTCAGTGTGGTTGAGAAGTGGCAACATTTCTGACAAGACGGTATTGTTCAAGGCACACCAGCGACGCCTTGCAACAGCTGAAGTCTTTCATGAGGAGATCCACTGAAGTAATGTGCCCTTAAAAGAGGAAACGATGGTCTGAATTGTGGATCATCAGCTGTTGGAGCATTGGCCAAGGCAGATCGAGAAGATGGAAGCTCACAGTTGGAAAACCACTTCATGAATTGCATCTGACCAAAAAAAGTATCACTACAAGGAAGAATTTGTTAAGCGAAACAAAAGAATATGGAGGTATGTTTTCTCGGAAAAATGTTCTCAAGGAAGATTGCTGGACTGAGGTTGAAGAGATGAAGCAAATGCTCGCTAACATAAATGTATTTTTTTCGTGACGAAGCTCCTGTTGCATGTTGCTCGCTCGACATCCTTTGGCTAGAAAGCAAAAAATTACATTTAGATGGTTAGTCCTAGTTTTAAAATTCTGAAAAATTTAAAGCCCTTTAAAGGTATTCAGAGAATCTGATGGAAGCAGCAACGAAAGTGACGGAAGAAGCAGTGAGTGGTAGTGTGTTGCACTGAAACAATTCCGTGAACAGTTGATCACTTCCGAATAACATCAAATGGCACAACCCAGATGCTGAATTCGGTGAATAAAACAAGACGGAGCAGATTTCAAAACCGGTGGTCGTCGAGTGACCGTTGGAATGAAATGGGGTGGTTTTTTGATTTCATTTCTATTTATAACGCCGAAGTCTCTTCATAACTTCACTACTGGAATATTCCTCTACTGCATATGCAAATTTAAAACTGCATACCAGTTATTTTGACCGTTTACTAAATGTATTTCAGTGTTTATGCTTTTACACAGCGTGCCTTTAGGCAGTGATAATATGCATTTAAAATAAAAATTGTTAGTGTTTAGAATTACTTTGTGCGTTTAAGATATGCAAAAAGACGATGAAGATTTATAGCAACACAACATTTCGGATATTTGCGCTTTCATCACTGAGTCATGCTGTTCATGGAAGAATCTGGTTTTCTGGAATGCAGCGCGATACATGTGTTGCGAAAGAAATCAGTACGCTGATGCAACTCCAGTTGTCTTCTCACGGATTGCAGGATGAGCTTCCCCACATCTTTTCACCTCAATATTCCTTTATTTCTGCACTTCGCTGCTGATGAAAG